ATGAATTATATATATACCCTGATTGACAGTGCATAAGAATAATAATATTATTTTTCTGGTTATGATGTGAGCTGTAATGGATTTGTATTTTTTGTATCATTTGGATTATTTGTTATTTATTGTCTATTTGTGATGATATTAATTTGGCAGGAAGTAGGTCATATGGAATATGGGCGGGGTTTTTAGGTTATATGAGCACCTTTTCACCTTTGCATGGGGGGAAAGAGAGTGAGTGGGGACGCCATATTTTTTTGTTGATGGCTATGCTTTTTTACGTTTGATCACTGCGATTGATTTACTGCCTTTAAGAGCTGGAACTTACCCATGGGGTTCCCTCGCAGGTCCTCCAGTCTCTCATGAATGAGTGAGATCTGTCTTTCCAACTGTCCGTTTAGCTCTATCTGCGTCTCGTACCTCGTCTTCCACTCGTTACCTGGTGCATAAGGATAGACAGAGGAAACTGTCACATTTCTTTAGAAACAACCCTGAAGAGGGACAGTGGTAGAAAATAGAGGACACCAGCTAAGCTAAAGATTTCTTTACAATGAATTCTCCCCTTGTTGATGGAGAACCTTTTTTTTTTATTATTGACTGAGCTTCAGGGTTGTGTATTGGAGTCATCTTAGCTGGTTACTCACTTACTTCAGAGAAAGCAGCCATTTATTAAACCAATTCTCTAAATGTTAAACTGATAAATATCTGAAATTTTTGAATCTTCAAGCTTAATGCATGACAATTTTCTTTGTAATTAAAGTTGCAGCTTTAATCTGGTTTCATTGACTGTTCTCCAGGTTTGTTATCTCCTGACTCCAGTTAGCTTTCGTTGATAATAATTTATATTTTTATTTATTAACTTACTTTTATATCTTGAATCTTGATTTTTGGCATTCTGAATCATCCCTCTATCAATCCATCCACCACCCATGCATTTATCCATCCATCCATCCCCCCATGTATCCATGATCCACCCATCCATCTTTCTTTAGTGTAACTTCCATGGTCATGTGACACATTTTCAGACTTCAACTTTAGAAGACAATTCCAGAGGGCTAACTAACTTAGCATGTAGCTCAGTGTAAACAGCGATAGCTCTATGGTACTGACCCTCTCCATCCACACTGTGGAGTCTCTCCTGCAGCTCACACATCGTGCCCCGCAGGTCACACACCGACTCCTCCAGCATTTCTCTGGAACGAAGAGCGACACGACGCTGATTCCACAGTCGGTGATAAACTCATTCACATAACTTCAGACACCAACTCACCTCGTCTCCTTCTCCTGCTGCAGTTCCTCCTGCAGGCGACTCGCATCGTATTTGCTGAACTCGCTGTCTGCAGCCATGTTTCTGTCTGAACACACCGACAGCAAGTTTGTGCCACGGGGTTTCCATGGAGACCCCTACTTCCGGCTACTTTCAGGCCCGCGCCGGAAATAACGCAACACATTTGGCGGGAGATTGAAATGTGGATTTAAAAATGTCTTCCTTCTGGTTTTGAAAAAAGAGAAATTACTCCTCTGTTGTCTGAACATCCATGTTTGTGTTGTTGTTCTAGTGTATTTTCATTTAAACTGTGCAATATTTTTGTCAATGTCAATATCTGTAAAATAATTCTTGTATTGTATAAATGTTTGCTTGTCTTACACATTTCCTTATGTTTATGTTGTAGGTTTATTTATTCGTTACTTTTTATTGATTTTTCTTAATTTTTCGCTATGCTGCTGAAATGCTGCAAATGTCCCTGTTGTACGTTAAATAAGGGATAATCTTATTTTATCTTATCTTGTTTTTTTATCCCTCTCTAAAAAAAAACATAGACCTACCATACGCTTCAAAAAAAGTGTCAAATAATCACAGTTAAATGTGAAATTTCTGTTATTTTTATATTCAACACACGATTCATACAGATCTTAATATAGAGGAGGTATACACACACATACAGAGAGAGAGACACAAAAACAATGAAAAGCTTACAGTTCTACAATACAAGTATCAGTAGTTTTGTCTAAAAGTTTAAATTCACATTGAACAATACAAAACCATATATATAAATAACTTAAATAGCTTTAGATCTGGACTTTGATTCAGGCTAATACCTGAGTTTGTTTATTTGTTTTTAGTTCCTTATCTTATAAAAAAAAACATCTCTTCTAAAACCATGCCCTATATTTTCTTTTATAAATCTACAAATAAGGAAGTGACCCACCACAGCACTAAAGCACGTCCTGTGGAAATCTTATTTTTTCATCTCTTTATCTTCTTTCTTCGGCGCCTCCTTCGCCTCAGTGTCTGATGACTGTCCGTCTGGTCTTTTGACCATGGCCTTGGCCGTCTCTTTGCCTGCGCTCTTCAGGAAGGCTTTGAAGCCCAGATTGTCAATGTTGTACGCAGTGACACCGACATTGACCACCGACCGCAGAGCTGTGTCTGTGGCCTCACCTGCATCATTACCGTACCTTCACCACGGATGATACGGTAGAGTTAGGGAAGAGTAGTTTGGTGTAAATAAATAACATGTGGAGGATGTGTATGGAAATGAAATTCTAGGCAAGTACGTGATGTTCATTCTGTCGCCAGTTTTAGTCAACGCACCGTAGTTCAAGAAAAAGTCACAGTCATAAAACGCTGTGTAGCAGTTTAATTAGTAACAAAGCAAGAGAAAATGTTACAGATAATGTGAACAGCATCACCACCCAACACCAGAAGACACTGCAGGTAGCACAGAAAGACAAACACCAGAGGATTCAACTGTACAAAGTCAAAAAATAACTCAAAATACAAACATATACAATTTCTGTGTAAGCTGTTGCTTAGATTAGGATTTTGCCTTATTTTGGGTCATTTTCTGACTTGATCTGAGAGTGAGAGGAGTGAAAAGTATTGAACAGGATCGGCAGTTAGTTCACAAGTATTTGCCTTTACTCCCCCGTGCAGTCAGATGTTGCTGGACATGTTAAATAGACTCGCTAAGCCCCTAAATCTGAAAAGGAAAGGGTGTGAAAGCAGGTCAGTTTCCCAGCGTACCAAGAGGAAAGCAACACAGTAGGAAACTGTAAAGATGGTTTCTGTTCTAATGCTGAACGAAAGCTCGACAATCATCCAATACAATTAGAACATTTCTATCTAGAGGCAGATGTTGTAAATGTCGGAACTTACTTGTAGGTCACAGTTTTGACGGTCTCGGCTGAAACACTTTTGCCAACAAGCTTTGCTCCATTTTCCAGACTGGACCAAACAGTAGAAAAACCTAGTTTGAATGTAAATGAAAATAAATTTTGAGTGCTCTTAAAAAAAGATTTAACAGGATTAAACATGATATTTCAACATTTTAAAATAGACTGAGATGATGAGAACATTATGTACATTTATATAAGTGTATGTAAGTAATCAAATAACTTGATTCTTGATTCCTGTTCTCAGGTTTATACCTTGAACACTTGTGGCTGCCACTAACTTGGCTCCATCCAAATTCGAAGGCTGGCCATCTTTGCTCTTCATGGACTCTGGGACCAGCTTAGCACCATGTTTTTTAACATGTGGAGCCACCTTGTCTGCCACATGTCCTGCCACTGCACTCACTCCATTAACTGTGAACATAAATAATCATACAGGGAGAGGCATACACACAGATATACAGCCACAGCAGTCTCCAGTAAGTGAAATAAAAGGAAAATTAAAGGTTTATCGAGATTTACTTCAAGTGTTTGTATCTTTATCATCATGTTCATGCACTCAAACTGAAATCTAGTTCTTGTACAGTTTGTATGGTTGTACTTATATTGTGTTGTCTTGTTTTTCATGTATTGGCTCAAGTCCTTACCCAAGAACTGGCTGACTCGCACAGCACCCCCAGTGGCCTGTTTAGCGACCTGCAGACTTTTGTTGACCCCGGGGCTGACCTCTGAGGGGGTTTCCTCAGGCGTGACGTGGTCCCGGATCTTGGCCGCTCCTTTATGAATGGCCCGACCTGTGGCCTCTGCTCCTTTAACAAGCCCTTGACTTAACCGTGATGCTCCTGAAAACATATTTTGCTCGTTAAATATTCACTGGGAAGTGGTTGTGTTGTCAAATGATCAAATGCGGCGACAATTTCCTTACTTGATGCATCAGTAAACACCACCCTCCAGTGGCCATTTTCTATACAGATCACACAGCCTTAACAAACCTGTCAGGATTCCTTGTGCCATCTTCTCACTCCATGCAGGAAGTGGTGGTTTTTCCTTCTCCCCTGTCAGTCCTGTCTGTTGTTCCATGGGACCAAGGGGGACTTTCATACTCAGGTTGATGACCTCTGACCCCTCTGGACCCTGTCAGGAAATACATTTACACATATGTCAGCTGTCATGAAAGGAATCATCATATTCTGCATTTAAACTGTGCGTACGTTCCCATGACATGAGGTCTTTGTACCGGCAACAGGATAACTACTTTCTGCTTTTAAAATAGTTCCCACTGAAGTAGGAAGTATTTTGTTCTTACAACTGTTTTCCAGGGATAAAAGTGGCACATACTGTATATCTCAAAAGAGTAGGGCATTTAGTGTAACATCCTGATAACATCAGAAAATGTGTTTTCACTTTCAACAGCACAGCATCATGGAAATGCAAATGCAGAAGTGCAACAGTCAGGATGTTTTATACTATGAGGCACGAAAAAACCCTGAAACATTTTGCATGCTCTATCCACACCATTCCTTACATAAGCTCCGTACTGAGAGTAAAGCCTGACCTGGATCCTGAGTTCTGTGAGCTGTGATAGGAGGTCCACAAACATCTCTCTGTAGGCAGCGGGCAGTTCAGAGGACAGCACTATGCCCACGTAGGACCCTGGAGTATTTGCCAAGGAGTCAGGGAACATGAAGATCCCGGAGTTGGCCAACAGCACTGGAGTTTCTACTGTCAGTGGGTACAGCCAATTACATACCTTGAAAACACAAAACCACAAATCAGTAAGGATGTTGGGCCTCCATAGGTCAGGGGTCATCATCCATCACTCAAAGAGGTTGAAAATATTCTAACTGATCACCAGCTGTAGTTCATTTAAAACAAAAATACCTTTTTAAAATTATTTTAGAATTAAATCCTACTATACAAAGTCAAACAACGAAATAAATAAATCCTTATAGATGTGTTTCTACTCCAAATTAAGCATTTGATCACTAGTTATACACAGTATATATAGAGATAGATCCAAAAATAAAATGTGAATGGAAAATCCTCCCTTTTCCAACATTATTTTCCCAGTTAACTTAATATGTGAATGGATGGTTTCTTGTTTATCTGGTTTTGATTCATAAAAACGCACACTTGTTTCCCAGCAGGCAAAGTGTCCCAAACTTTGATGTTTACGTTACAGGATTTTAGCACCATACAGGTTTGATGTCCGACATAACACAGATACAGACTTGCTGTAGCATCGTGCCACTGGTATGCCGCCCAAAAAAAATGACCCCATGTGAGGGTGCAGGACGCCGACCAGCAACACAACAGAAGAGCAGAGTCATCTGTTAAATGGGACCATTGTCTTGCTGGGAAACAAAGCAGGCCCAGAATACAGGAGAGCAGCCCACCAGCCTGGTGCTGTAGGAAACAGAGTCATGGGGTAAGACTGAGGTTTACAGTGCCGCACAATACACTCTTTGTAGAGGTGCCAGAATACAGGACTGTTGTTTGCAAGTTTTATATTTGGTCAATACAAAAATCATCACACAGCTCTGAACCCTGCTGTGATTGGTTACACCCAGAGGTTTTTAAGTCATACTTTTAGATAAGCTGTGCCTTAAAAGTTATAACTCTTTTTTAGCAAAAACTTCAACAATCATGTTCTGTTTACAGGCTTAAACTTCTGAAGCATAAATATGATAGAATTACTATGGGACAGGCTCAACATCATCAATTTAAAAACTGCAAATATGCAATGTTTAAAATATCATATATAATGTTTTAGTATCCGTCAAACATATTTCATCTTGGACAGCTGAAGTATTTGAGTCTCGGACTGAAAATGTATCTGTTATATACATATTTATATATATGTTTTAGACCTTTGGTCCTTTGGTAACAGTTGAGCACATTACATGTAGTTATTTTTCACTGTTTTGTGGATTACACAAAATGATCAGTTGAGAGAATAACAGTGATTAATCACAAATTATTATTTATTTTTTTAACTTATTGTAATATCCTTGAAGATCCAACAAATAATGTAAAGGGAAGGAAAACATTTTTTTATGATGTAGAAAAGAAAAAAAAAAGATACTACATCCAATTCCACAACAGTTTTGACATGTTTTATCATATCATGTGCTGTCAAACTCAACGTGTACCAGGTATGAGAATATTTCACCATGACAACAGCTGTGTATTCATTAGTTGGACATATCTTTGAGACTACTACTCATCTGAATACCAACATAGTGACTCATGTTACAAAACTTGTCGAATACCCATGACGTGGTTAAACGCTGTTCACACCTTGAGGACACACGCCCAAGAAAAACGTTTTGCTTATGCAGCATTCAGATACTTACTGTGACACACTGTTTACTTACATGTAGAAATGCTGAGGGTTTTCCCGCAGTGGAATCCTTGTTCTCAGCATCAAACGTGATGATCCGCAGGAACCCGGGATTAGACAAGGAGCTGACCTGTCCGTTTGGTGCCACGAAAAACATCTGCACACCAGAGGGGACAAAAAGCAACTCATTTCCATCTCGTCCTGCTGCTACCACTCTGCTCGGTTGCCCCGACCAGAGGCCGGCTCCAGCAGGGCCGTAAGCCAGGCTGCTGTGCCCGTCTGTGGGATTTGGTGTATACGCTGGAGGCTGGTCCCCTGGATTAGCCATGGCTATAGCTCCTGGAGCTGCTGTAGAGAGGGAGTATCTGTACAGAGGAGAGGACACAGGACGGGGAGGGAGTGTAATTGGGGTTGGGGTTGTGCTCTGGGTGGGGGGGATGGTGGGGTACAGGTGGAGGAGAGAGCTATTGGGAGGCTGGCTGTTAAGTTCCAGTAACAGTCGCTGCCTCTGGTCTCCTTCTGTCGGCTGTGAGGTCTCTAGGTCAGAGAGGTGGGTGTTGACAGTACTCAGAGTGTCCCTCATTTTCTGTTGAAGCTGCCTGGCTGTGTCCCAGGCCGCTCCATGGTGCCTCTCCCCCCCAGTGGGAATCTCCACTCCCTGCGTCAGGTGCTGTCGGCCCTTTCTGTAATACTCCAGGGCCTCCGCTCTTTCCCCAGCCTCTTGGGCGGTCAACCCACGACTCAGGGAGTGAAACGCCATCTCATACTGGTCTTTGATGAGCAGCAGCTCAGCAGGCTCCACCATACTGAGAGTCAGATGGAGACTAGAGAGAAAAGAATGGAGGCAGAGATTAAATCAAAAGAACCAGCAGAGCTCTGCCAATTTTTGGGAGCTCATACCGATATTAGGGAGCAAAATACAAATCCTATATAAACAGTATATATTTAAAAAAGAAATCTGCCCTTTTTTAAAAAGAAATATAATTGATAGGGCTTCACCAATATATTTTTTTTGCAGGGTATTGTCAGTGATGGTATGAATGAGCTAAATCACCTGATACAGTATAATATTCTCAAAAATTGAAATAAATGATCAGTTATTACTGAGATGTTAAACTTAGCGATAAATAAAAGGGAGGCAAATACAGCCCAATATATAGAATTTGAATACATGAACATAAATGCAAATCTTCTCTGTATTGTAAAGATCAACACATTTCAGCAAAACATAAAGGCAGATACTGGTTTGTCTGTGAAAGGCTGATATCAGGGTCATATTATCGGCCAACCGATATAGGGTCTGGCTCGAGTAATCGAGTCTGGATACTTTACATACAGTAATGTAGGCAAGAATATAAACATGTAAACTTCTTTTCTGCACTGTTCATTGTGTCAAATGAAAGTTTAGAGGACTTTTACATTAGTACAAATTAAAACTCTAGTTACTGGTTGTTAAAACGTTATATACTCTTTAACTTGTGGACTGTAGTTTGTTCTATGACAATTTAAACTTCAGTTAGTTTGATGGGACAGTTTGAATTAAAGAAAAAACAAGTGAAGGATAAGGAAAACAATGAGGAGGGAAGGTAGAGTCCCTCTCACCAAGATATGCAGCTAAACCAGGTGAGAAAAAGGAAGAGAGAAGTGAATCAACTAGAAAACAGACTCCTCACTGACACAAGAACTCTCCACAGGAAAGTAGATGTGTGTAAATCTGTGTAATCTAGGTAGTTGTTGCAGGAGCAAACAACACATCAGGTTTTACCTGAACAACCTGAATGTGAGCATCGTGCAGACATGGAGTTTTAACTTTTAAAACAACACTGAAACTTTAACTCACTTCTAAATGTATCAAGCAACAACTTTTCACACCTGACCACTGAGCCAAAAAAAAAAGACCAAATTCCAAATTCAATGTTTCTTACCTTCAGCCTAACGTTAAAATCCTGCGAGAGAAGAACCAACTGATGGTGAATAGCTGATCTCAGAGAATCTTTACTTCACTTTTCCAGATCTCTTATACTCTCTTAGATGAGTAAACGTCTATTCACGTATCTATTTGCGTTCACTGATTTTTACCTGACGCACTGACGAGCGTCACTCGCGAAGATTCCGGTCAGCACTTTCAAAATAAAACGTTAAACAATAAAAGCTTTTTTCAGAAATACATGCAGCATTGCACTGATACTTGACATATAAGAAATAAAGCATGGCCATTTGATTTTGCAATTCATGATTTAACATGAATTTTATTGAATTCTGTACAAAACATAAACATATATTACACCTCACAACATTTAGGTTTATTAACCTTTGAATTAAGTCAAATCTACAAGGATTCAAATTCTTGAGTAATGTGAGATAGTTTTATTGTATTACTATTTATTGTACTTGAGAAAACAAAACTTCAGGTCAAAATGTGTCCAGGGGAGAGACAAATATCTGCAGACAGTTTTGTTCTCAGTCTTTGTTCTGGCAGAAGTGTCAGTCGATGGGTGGAGCAGTGAGTCATGAAACAGGCAGAGTATCAGGTGGACTGATCCATGACACACAACAATACCTGTAAAAAGACAGAGGAATAGACGTCAATTTACAGATGCATCAACTACCCAATGGAACTGAAACAACACATGAAGTCAAACAGCATTAAAAACAAGCTACGTCTTACTTTGAACTCTTATACTTGTCCCTGATAGCTTGTTGTGGGTGACTCTCTGCCCTGATGTATAGCTTGTGGAGCTCATTTAGGCAAGGGCCAATGTCAGCCATGGTGTAGCCAGTAAACACAGATAAGGAATCAGGCTAGAATATAAAAAGACGTATTTTTAAAAAAAAAGTCTAAATCTCACAAAGTGGATTTTTAGGACTCAAAACAATGATCTTAGCAAACTTACCCAGAGTGATTTGTTCACAGTGTACGAGGCGAGGCAAAAGGCTGCGGCTGCGACTATGGATGGGGTATAGTGTAGGAAGGGTTCGATTTCCAGCAGGCTTAACTCAGCTACATACTAGAGACAATATGCTTAAAGTAAGTTGAAACCTGCATTTTCAAGGGTGGAGGGCATAAACCCAGAGTCTGGTTGAAATGACTGATTGGTTTGACTCACCAGTGACAGGTTCTCTGTGTTGGCACAGACAGGGTGGATGGACATGAAAAGACGAAAGAACTGGTTCGTGGTGGGCGCTGCCATCTTGAAGGCCAGCACGTTCAAGAGAAAATGCTCCATCTGAATCAGCTGCACCTTCGTGTAGGTGCTGTCGGTGATGTACACAAAGTCATTCAGCTTAGGAGGGTAGATCTCCTCGTATTTTCTACAAGGCAAAATACCAGACAACATCAAGTTACCATCGGTGGAGTTGATGCTACTTCATTAGGAGTATCAAATCTTTTGGAAAATCAATACTGAAAAAATGACGGATGATGCATACGTAAGCTGTTTATACCCCAATCAGGCAATGCTTGATTTTTTTATAAAGTGAAGCCATTTCATAATGACATCATTGTGACATAATACTGCAACAATTGATTGGTTAGTTGAAATTAGTTGTAGGTAGAGCATGACTACACAAGGTTTTACTTCACAGTAATGTAATGATGACATCATTCTTCCCTATGATCAAAAATACATTTTTCAATCTGTTCAAGCTTCAGGTCGTATCTCGTCCTATAGGATGCAGATACCTCAAGAAATGCATTTTGGAACAATGCATGACCTTATTTTCTAAATTCTTCATGATCTCACTCCTCACTTCAAATGACATCATCTGATAGTGAATCGATTTCATCCCTATAGCCCAACCAAGTTTCGTAAAAGTCTGTCCATGAATAATAAAATAACCTAAACGTCTGCTTACGAAGCAATCAGTAAAGCTGCTGTGCCAACCAGCTGCAGATTTCCCCGTTTGATTAATTCTGTGCCGGAGAGAAAACGGTCCAAGTAGTTGACAGCGAGGTGCAGAGTCTCAGTGCGAAGCTTGTACTCCTGGGCGACTTCCACCATCCAGTCCACCAGGACGACGTGCATGTTGCTGGTGATCTCGGGATGTTTCTCCAAGTGGCCTGGTTTCGCCCTTAACTTCATCTGCCATTAGAAGCAGAAACAGTTATCATGATGCATTTGTAGAGAACCAAGGAGCAATACCTCACAACCAGGGTACTTAATGCTGACCACACATGAGTGAAATTATTCCGTGCACATAGTAATTCAGATCATTACGCACTTCACTCTGCCTCAGGTGTTTGTGAATTTCCTTTGCGTACTCAGACACACACAGAACCTCGTCTGACATCAGGGATTCATCTTTTTCAGACTGCATACACGATTCCTGGCATTGACCTTTATGAGAGGGAACAGTCATCAGGAGATAAACAAGACAACACGATAAAAACGTCTTGATGGATGTTTTTCTAAACAGCGAACTCACTTGAACTAAGCTCCAGCAGGAATCTCAGAGCTTCATTTTGCAGGGCGGAGGTTTCAGTGTCAAGGTGATAACTCTGTGACACTTCTTCTTGACCAGAAACTGAAAGAACAACTTCACAAGCCTCTTCAACATAAACATCATAGCCAGAACTGGAGGTGCAGCCAAGGAAGGTGACCTGGGAGCTGTCTGAGACCGAACTGTGTTTGGAAAACTGGCCTCCCTGTTGAGAAAAATGAGTCGTCGTGATTACCACAAGAAGTTGAAAAGAATACTCTGTGAACTGAATTGAAAATCAGTAAAAAAAAAAAAAGTGTTTTACTCCCAAGTGCCTCCCTGTTTTACCTTGCTGACAGATCGGCCACGCTGCTCATTTTCTGACAGGACTCCAAGCACTGTCCGCTGTTTGGGCCTCTGGGCCTGTGAGGCATCTACTTTACTTGAAGGTAGGATATTTTCTTTGCTGGTGTGACTGCCACAGTGGGTATTTGAGCTGAAGTTCATCTTTAAACAAGGAGACAGGGAAAGGTGAAGTTGAAAATGGCTAACAGGGTAAAAAAAGGTAAGGCAAAATAAAGAAAACACAAAATTAAAATAGCTCTGAGGAACCTAATTAAAGCACCTAAAACATGCACCTAATTACAGTATGCTGCACTGCAATGATCTAAGTTAGTGGTCGTTATTGGACCCCAAGGTTACCCCAAGATGAATCTGAGGGGCTGCAAGATTAGTAAAATCACACGCAATTGGAAATAAAGAATACAAATAATCAGATTTATACACCCTCACACCCTGAGGGTGTCAGAAACATCATCACCATGGTTACACTGATTGATCAGCTCATGAACAATAAGAGACAAACACTAAGAGAAAGAAGGTGAGAAAAAAAAACCCAAAAGAACAAATGATCTGGATCAGTCCAGTGTGATGAACTGATCCACGGTGACTTCCTGTTGGTTTTCACTGTGAACTCACCATGTTCAGGATCCACGTAGTTAACGTAGTGGAGGCGGAGGGATTTGTCCTCTAACGAGCCAACGGACTAATTAACGTTGACTTCCTTGTTATTAACTTGTAGACAAACAGCGACCTCTGGTGAATTAACGCGGTGTTGTTGGAGGTTAGTTCCGCACGTTACCTTGTCAACCAATCAGCTGTTTCCTCTGAGCCGTTCCTTTCCCTGATGACGTATGGACGTCATGCGTTGGGAACGTAAACAGCCTCACTTTAAAATGATCTGGATAAAAACTCTACATGGAATTTATTCTACTCCTCAACATATATTTCTATGTGATCTTAGGTTTGTATTAAAGTAATAACAATGATACAAACTTTAGTTATACAGCAAAATACAGTTACAGTAGACAAGTTCTTTACAAGTAAGAAAAATAGTAAGACAATTAGTTGGAAACTGTTAAATGGAATTTGAAGATCACACCACATTAATGCTCAGGTAGTGAAATAAAAAATAGTTACGAATAACATTATACAATTCTTTAAATAGTTGGTTGATCAGAAGTAGGAGAAAGTGTAGATATGGAAATTTGAGGGATTTAAAAGAGGATAAGGATTTTTCCAGACGGATCTCCTCAAGGAGATTGTTGCAAACGGGAGCCCTGACAGAAAAGGCCTGGTCCCCTCTGGTCCTCAACCAGGACTGTGGAGTAGACCTCAAGTTGTGAACGGGCACAAATGGCAGAAAAAGAATCTTATAATCATATAAGCCCATTTTATTATTCTATAAATAAAGTTATTCTAAATTAACAGCCACCGTAGAGGAGACATGGACCTGCTCACGTCACCAGTGTTATATTGTCCATGTTAACACAGCTACAGAGAAGCAGAGGTTACACAGTGGTTCTGACCTGACCCGTGATTTTGCACTGTCCAACAAAAACGATGCAAAACAGGTGATACATTTAGGTCGATGAAAACAGATATTGTTAATAAAATAAAATGTCAACTTACATAGAAAGGTCAATGTTCAGTCTGTAGAGAGTAACCTGCTGACAGCCTGCAAGTCTTTCATTGTCCATTAGATGGCAGGCTTCCTCTTCAGAGACAGCAGCCTGATGTTTTTCCATCAGTTCAGTCAAGCAGATTTACAACATCTTGTCACCTCGAACAACATTTTGGAGCTTGTCACATTAGGCCACCGCAAACACACAAAGGCTAACTTCCAGGCTGCAGCCTCAACAACACTAACTAAGAACAATGTGAAATTATCATTAGACTTTTTGACCCTTGTTAGTTCTCATTTTTTTCCACTGAACTTCTGCTGAGCCCAACTCCTCAGGGATGGAGAGGATGAAAAGTGGATTCTGTTGATTAAACCACTTTGAGACTTGGACTCTGATTTAAGTATCCACTTTTCTATGACTGCAAACCACATGGATGTTTAAATGTGTGTAGTCTCTATTATTATAAGAACAGGAGGTATAGAGAGGAGGCAGGTATAAGAACTTGGGAGGATCCAGGGGCATTAACTGCAGTCTTGTCTTGCCACTGCTGCTTCTGCTGAGCAGCTCCACTGGAGCAACATCGGATTACAGATTCCAATTTGCAACCTTTTGGCCACAAGGCTGCTTCTTGAACCTTCTGCCAACCATCACTCTTAATACTTTACTGACACATGAATTTGATGGAGGACACCCTCTCTTGTTTCTACTGGTGCTTTTAACCATATACCAGAATAGTATGTTAAAAGGAATGTTTTTTTCTTTGCCTTGTCTGCTTGAATTTTAGTTTTAGTGATTTAATCCAAACACGCATTATATTTAGAAAACAAATATCCAGCGTTATCCATATAGAGGAGATACATTCTCCTCCACAGGGCATATAATTATACAGTTATCTATAAATGAAGGGTTTGCTGTCACCAGCTTATAACAGACTGAAAACATAACACAAATTTTGAGAGATCTGAATCTATATTTTATTGTCACAGAGGGAATCTTGATGTCACGCAGGACTATTTCTCTGTGATTGTGATGAACTAAAATATCATAAATTCTAATGTTGTAATGGTAAAGCCATCCTGAAAACTTTAATTCCTCCACCAAGGCCCCTTATGGAACCAGATTTAAATCAAAACATCATAAAAAGCTTGTAATGTTAAACAAAGTGGATCCACACCAAATGGGAACAGGTTCTTCCTGGACCCATATCACATCGCTACACTAAGTTCCGTGGTAGTTCGTCAAATAGTTTTTGCGTGATCTTGGCTACAAACAAACGGGGGAGAAATATAACCCCTGATGAAAAAGATAAGGCATATTTCAAGTGTGTGAAACTTGTGTGCAGCTTGATTCAATCTAAGGGGAGTGTTGGGCATTTGCAGACGTATGCTGTGGGTCATTCTAGTTGGCAATGTAATTATATGTAATTCTAAGAGTATGATTCCATTGTAAAACTCTGTGGTAAAAGACCTAATTGTATTTAAATTATGGAAAACAGCAATAAAAGGATCCATGTGTGGAAATAAATAAAACATTAAGGACCAGAATGAGTTTTGGTATCACAGGGCAAACATCATGACTCACAATCGCCTTTTTTATTTGAACTAAATTAAAATTTGACAAAGTTACTTGCACTGTAATCTGGATCAGAGATCATCAAGTCAAAGATGATTCAGTCCGACCAAATCTTCTTATGCAGCTGCTCTCTGTGTGTAGTTCATCAAATGTTTGTGGAGGATTTCACCGTGTTCAAGAGCTGAATTTGACATCAACACCAGTTGCTTGGAGGGCCAAGGCTGAGAGAAACAGAATATAAAGAAAAAGAAGGTTAAATGAGTATTTTTCTCTTTTCTCTGTCTCGCAGTTATGACGCAATGAAACTTTGTTCTACCACAGAACTGATGAAAATAATCCTCTCAAACTAAACCGGGTTTCATGTTCACACAGTGCTGAAGAGCAGGGACTGAGTCATGGATGCACACATTCATACTTAAACACACAGAAGTGGAACCTGCTTGGGTGGAGATGCACAGTCTCTCTGTCTTCCTCCGCCTTTTTATCCCTCTTCCTCATTTCCGTTGAGATTGTTTATGATAGATAGCACTGGGGTGGTGCCATTTCATTAGTGTGATGTATCTCTGGTGACAGCATTGAGGCCAGATGAGCCAGGAGTCTGAGCATCACCCATTTATATACAGTCTATGGCATCACCTCTAAAATACTGTGCCGTCCAGGAGCCTCCTCCCAGCTGAGGATGGACATGTCTCATCTGTCTCTCTGTCACCCCTGTCAGGAAAATGACAGCCAAGATTGTCTCACACCATGAGATGAAAAATATTCCTGTTGTTTTAGGTCAAAAAATGCAGTGGATGTGAATGAAGCTAAAACCTGGAGGACAATGAGATGAAATATGATCTGCTGAGACGTAGATTTATTCTCTGAGAAATCAACGAAAATGATGAAATGTTGCAAGATCTTGCAATTTATGAAGGAGTGAAAAAAAATTCCTGGGTTCACATCAAAATTTCATGGATTCTTTTCTGAATCATAGCACAACATTCCACCAAGTTTTCTGTTCAATCTGTTTATGCATAATCTTGTTTACAAAAAACCAAACACATATGCTAAACATAACCTCCTTGGCCGATTACAACTTGTAGTGACATCTCAGGAACCCTCCGCTGATTGGTGATATCTCTGTCATCTGCTATCCTTCTCCATCCAGAGCACATACAGTACCTCCACCAAGACCCAGCGGTCTCCTTACATTTAATCAAGCCACAACAAATTGTGCGTACTCACTGATATTAGTCCTCTAAGTATATATATCTCGCACGCCAAAGTTTAATAGGTTCTTTCTTGGCCCATGTCCCATCCTTCCACCAGATTTTGTGAAATTGCATTCAGTAGTTTTTGTGTAGTCCTGCTGACAAACACAGACAGACAGACAGACAGACAGACAGACAGACAGACAGGGGTGAAAACATAACCTCCTTGGCAGAGGTAAATGTGGGTCATGTTAGGTTAAAGGACGATTACCAACATTTTCTTTTTTTGCTGGCATTCAGCACTTCAAAGCAACATGTGCAAAACTGCAGGGGGGTTTCAGTGAACTGCAAAATCATTTAATATGTGTCGGGGGAAGAGTCTCACCCCCCCCCCCGACAAACAACAAACTGCATCAAATATGAGCAACAGCGATCACAGGTTCAAAATATCCAACAGGCAGTTTATCGGTAAAAAGGAGAGCGGCTTATGCTGCTCAAATCTGGAAGACACACCACATACACAGGCTCTGTAACCAGAGGGCATCATCTGATGGAATATCAGTGAGTCACATTAGTGCCACAAACCAATGATGAAACTTTAATTGTTCACTTTGTGGAATCTGCTGCAATTTCTTTCGTTAATTAACTACTCAGAGAGAATCACAGCGGAAGACATCGACAGAGAGGAGGAAAGATACGATTCCAAATCCACTGAAGTGTAGAAAGTCGTAAACCGACTCACTGAAAGACAAAGTGTTGCACTGCAGACTTGTTTTATCTCGACGTACCAGACGTGTACATCACATATCTCCCCGTCTCTCCCGGCCCGAGCTGTGGAACATATGAATTATGAATGTCTGAAGAGTAACAGCTTTTTTTATTTGCAATTTAAGGGCCCAAAATCTTTTGGTGCACTAAATTATTCATATATTCAAATGAATCTGACTTTGAGGACATTTTTCCTTTCTTCTTCTCTTTCATGAATTTAGATTGTGCCCTTCAGAGGGACAGGTCAAAATTAGTGGCAAAGGTTTAAACAGAACAGTTTTTTCAAAAGGTTTCAGTTGGGATTTTTTTCCCCCCACTCAGACATGTTTTATTAAATTGGGTCCTGTCGTTTTTGATTCTCTGCCCATGGGAGATCCCTTTTGGGATTGTGTCAATATTGCAATGCCACCTCTCTCATTGTTATTCTGGAAGACTACCTGCCTGTCAAGCTGCTGTAATGTGTGTCAATGTACGAGAGTGTCACTCACTCACAGCTCCATGCCCTCCCATCTGTGGACATCACTTTGATTGACATTGCAATGAGACGAAAAGCTGGAGCCCAGTGCTGAGGTGAAGATGTTCAGGATTTTTTACACGTCACTAACGATCACAAATAATTCTGCGCGATATCTTGGAGGCATGGAGAAAGGTTTGAAATTCAGAGTGTGTCCTCTAGATTCAGGGATGCAGCGATCCCATGCTACTGCAACGAGGAGGAGACAAGTGAAAGAGTCAGATTTCATGTGCTCATCATTCTTAAATTTAGCTTTAGGGAGCCTCCCTCTCGGTGGGGTGCTTTGCAAAGGAGAGATTTAAAGCATATCTGCTGCTGCATCTAAAATACAACTTCTAACATACTTGCAACTAATTCCTTAACACTTTCCTGAGTGTTATCTCAAGGTTTAGCGATGTTCCCACAGGGTTAGCAGGATGAGCATGTCAAACCACTCCCCAAAGCACACACACAAACACACTTTGGCCCAAAATAAACCCCGTAGCTGCACGTCCCGGCCTCATTAACATGCCGTGCAGAGGCTGGTGTCCTCACAAGGGCAGTGCGAGGATGGCACGGAGTCAGAACGGGCCTGGGATATCAGGGAAAGACAGAAATGGCGGCCACTTCTTCGCCTTCTGGGATTAGTGACAAAAGCCAGCTGAGGCCAAAGCTCTTATCTCCATCCCACAGTCGTCTCTCGCGTAAACACACACACACACACACACACACACACACACACACACACACACACACACAGGCAACATAAAAGCACACAAGAACACTTGAGTTTGCACAGACACAAGCACATGTGCTCACGCAGCCTAATTAGCTTTGCCAAACATATTCCCCTCTTTAGGAAAATAAGGAACTGTGTGTGTGTGTGTGTGTGTGTGTGTGTGGGGACATTTAGACCGGTCCTCACTTTCTGACCCCCTTTAAATAGACTTTTTAAGGGTTAAGACTTGGTTTTCATGTTAGTATTAGAATTAGATTTAGGTTATGTTGGGTTGGGGTTATAGGGTTAAGGTTTAGGTTAGAATCAGGTTTTGGTTAGGTTAGGGTTAAGACTAAAATTAGGTTAGGGTTAAGACTAAAATTAGGTTAGGGTTAAGATTAGAATTAGGTTTAGATTGGGTTAGGTTAGGGTTAGGCAATTAGTTGTAATGGTTAAGGTTAAGAAAAAGGGCTGGGGAATACATAATAACATTGTGCACAATGTGATAATTACATCGTGTGACATGTGTCCTCCCTCCGTCTTTGGTTTCTCCCTCAACACAACTGCCAACAGCGTCTCTTTAAAATATTTATCCACGATTGTTTATTTTTCTTTTTGGATGCTTCAGATTAAGAAAATATTCACAGATCCAGGCTCATCAGATGAATCCCAGACCTCTCCGCATGGCTGTCAAATTTCTGTGTGAAGTGCACATGAATAGCAGCCATGTGATGATGTTGGTGAGCGCTGCATTGGTTTGGATGTGAAATAAAGTCGTCTCCCTCTCATCTCCGCACTCTGTCTGTTCTCTCTTGCTGCCGTTACCCTGCGGTGCCGGTGTCAGTGGGGCAGATGGCAAAAGACGGACACATCTGCGGAGTGGGAGGTGTCTTTTTTCCCCTTCACAGAGCAGGGACAGGTGTCATCTGCCACACAATTAACACTTTCATGAATACCATTAAGATGCTAACAAGGTCATACTTCAGATTCACAGACACGCACAGAATGGATTATTGATCAGCTTGGACTGAATCATATTTGGAGCCCTTCATTCCCAAATAATCTTTAATCAAAGTAAAGCACTTTAAAGTGTCAGCTCACCCAAATGACAGAGGATGTTTTCTCAACTGCAACAATTAAAAAATCAAGAAAAAATATTTTTCAAAGTAATTTAACAGTCTTATGTTCATTATGTGATTTTTTCATCACAGGTGTGAGTGGTTGTCTGTCTCCATGCGTCAGTCCTGGCAACCTGTCAAGGGGATACCCGCCCCTCCAAATACCTGCAAAACTACATCACATCATCAGCCTCAGCTTTACTTGGTGATTACTGCTCATTTGCACTTAAGCTCCACAGAGATGCTCTTAAAAAACCATTAATGGTGCCCGCACCACAAACAATCCCACCTCCATTGTGCCGGGTTGAAGGCAGAAACTGCAGAAAGACTACAGTTATTCCTCACGGCTTTATCCTGCTTCGGGTGAGTGAGATTTCTTTTAAATTATTTGCTGGAACTGGCCCCTCCACGAGGAGTCTGTATGTGTTGAGTCATCCAGTGCTGAACAGTTTATCTTTAGAGAATTGCATCATCTTTGTTTATCGATTGACGAATATATTTTATTCCTCCTCAATTTATCACTTATTTAAGTGACATGCATATGCTCTTCTCCGAATTTAAATTTGTGCAGAGGAGGTTTGCTCAGCTGCTGTTTACAGAGACACTGTTTAGAGGAGGGATAAGAGGAGGAAAGGAGGGAAGTAAAAGAAAAGATAAGAGCTTGAAGATGAAGGGAGGCAGGGAGAGCAGTGCTGAGACACTGAGGGATGTTAAAGGGTAATTTTTTTTATGTCAGGCCACACTTTTCTTACTTGCGTGTCGAGCTGAGGGTCTCATCCAAACAGTTCAGTCGGCAGCCAGTTACATATTGCTCACCACTGGATATTGTCTACTGACGCAGGTTGCTGACAGCAGAAAGAGGCTGTACCCCACACACAAATATGAGAAATGATGGCTCAATCATGTGTGTGTGTGTGTGTGTGTGTGTGTGTGTGTGTGTGTGTGTGTGTGTGTGAGAGAGGGAAGGAGGGGTTTGCAAGTGATGATAAAAACAGATGTATTGATCAGTTTAATCAAACCATTTATCGACCTGCACGTCCTGCTTTAGATTATTCTGCCCTGTTACTCGACTAATTATTGAACAGCTTCACTGTGACGAATGTTTGCTCAGTGAAAACGCGACAAAAAACACAGAGGAGCAGAATTGCCTATTGATGTGATCGTTATTCAAAGGTGATGAGCGGCACAGACAAAAGTGGGAGGGTGGAGACGGACTGAGTCGCGCACACACACATACACACACACAGAGAAAGAGAGGGAGAGGGAGAGGGAGAGAGGGAGAGAGGGAGGGGATGGGATGGGATTAGAGTGAGCACTACTCCCTCTCTTCTCTCCTCTTCACCACTTCTCTACTAAAAAAAATAAATTAGTGTCATTCATTAGTTGCAGCCCCTCAGTTGCAGGCCCTGTCTGTTCCCTTTCTGAATGAGAGCCTGCTCACAGAGAGGGTCTGACATTGTCTGCTCTTGCTGTAGTGTTGTGTGTGTGTGTGTGTGTGTGTGCAGGAGTGTGTATGTGTGTGTGTGAGTCACATTGAATGATAGAGAGAGAGGGAGAGAGGCTCACAGAGAAGATCTCTGGGCAACAGATCCGTTTTGCTCGGCTAAAGACCAAACACAACGGGATGGATTTCTGCACGACATGAACAAAAGAACAAAGGTCTGTACCTCTACGATTTCATATGTGTAGCTGATGCTTGAGATAGCTCTTAATGAAATGATTCCGGGTTAACAACAGTATTAATCTGATCTGTTAGAGGAGTGGGGATTCCTGCTGAATACAAAAAAAGCTTAAATAATCAGTCTCCATTCGGATGCCAGAAACTTTATTCAGCGATTTGTCACTGCCTGAAGAGCTGTCGCGAGAAAACAAAGGAAAGACGGGTACAGTAAAAGGAAAGATAAAATAGTAACAAAGAAGGAGGAGAAAATATATAAACGCTGAGACTTATTAGCAGCTGAAGCGTGCAGTAAAGAAGGATAGAGGGGGGTAATCCACGTACACTTTAATTCAGCAACTTTGCAAACGAGGGGGCTTCAAAAGGCAGTTGAGAAAAAGAGGGAAGGAGTGAGTGATTGAGAAAAGAAAAGAGGGGGCCATACAAATGTCCCAATGAGAACAAGAGCAGGTTTGTTTGTGCTTAAGATGAAGTGTGACTCACCCTGGTCACCGTGATAAACAAGAGCCGAATGACGTGAACATTTTTTTCTCCATTTTTAGAGGGAATTGACATTTTTGCATCAAATTTTCTCTGGGAATGATGATGGTGGGATTTTTGCAGAGGTCTGCAGTGAACATGCATGTTCCCTTAGGTCCTGATAACAAGATTTATAGGCCGGGGGCCTGTCTGCAGCACCACACTGCTTCATCCATCATGGTGTGTTGTGACGTCCCACCTTTATCAAACATTGCAGCTCCTGCGATTTGGATATTGCACTTCGGCCATATTTTGATTTGAATTATTTAGCGTAAAAACTCAGAGTAATTAACAGATATGATAACGAGGAGTAAAAATACCACAGGGGTGAGCTGACGCTGACACACACACACACACACAC